AAGTATATTCCTTAGCAATGGAACCTGGAAAGCTTGGTTTTCTCTTTGTCCGATGCCTTCTAGTTCAGGAAAATAAGCCATTCGTAAGATATTCGTGCTTGATCACATCTCTTCGCTACGTCAAGTCCGTGTAGATGAAACTGAAATAAGACTACCTTTGCTTTTACATTCAGCTTTAAGTCATAATTAGCGATTGTCAGAGTACCGGTAAGTCTTTAATCATATAGTAGTTATCTCCAAAGTCGCTCATGTAGAGGGGATTAATGAAATTTTTTTGCAGTATACTTGCGATAGTCTGAGTATACTAGTAGTCACCCAATTAACTGATTCTTAATATCAATGCTTTAATTGTTTAATCCGCCAATATTATTGTTTTCTTAATCAAAAAGTCAAGTGAGGAAATCAATCGCGTTCATGGTGCATCTATTCCTGATGTTACAAAATCTGTCATGAATTTGCAATCAGCACCCGCTAATGGTTCATCCAATGATCTTTCATCACGTCTTCACTCTTTAATTAATAAGGCACCTGTCATGCTTTTTATGAAGGGTAGCCCCGAAGAACCCCGATGTGGATTTAGCCGCCAGATCGTCAGTATTTTGCGTTCTAATAATGCTAAGTTTGAAACATTTGACATCTTACAAGATGAAGTGGTTCGACAAGGTTAGTTCGAATTTTAATCAACATTTAAGTTTCCTGTTTTATTGAATATGGGTTTAAAATGTTTTTTTATTAGTTTAATGTGTGAAGTAATCTTGAGGGAACTGGTACGGCCGAGAGTGGGGAAAGTCCGCTCTCCCTCTCGAAATGCTCTCACATGGCCACGCGTATATAGCCTCTGCCAGGGAAGTCCTACTCACTGCCTTCTCGTGGCGGGGGTGTTATTTACAAAAATGAGAGGACGAAAAGCGAATGTCCGGCGCTTTAACCGGATCCCAAACTGATGGTGCACATGGGCTCCAGTATCCTGCGGGAAAAATGGCGTATGAACCAATCGTTGGTCACCGGCTACCATGGGACTGCATCTCCTTACGATGCTCCACTGCCTTGTGGGTAAGACCTCTAGGTCAAAGGCTCGAGGAGTGGCCCCCTAAGAAAACCACCTGCTTCGGTTTGGGCACCCGGGCAGTATCACAGCCCTCGCACATATCGAATAAGATTTGTGTGGCGCATATGTATTTGGTGCCTTCTTGTACCAATATCTATGTGTTAAAATAAATAAATAAATAAATGTGTAAAGTGGTTTTGTAGTATTTCGAACTTCAATTGTCTTCCCAGTACCAGCACTTATGTTTCCAAATAAATCTCACTTTTTTGTCGTTAACAGATAAGTAGCAAGTACCTAAATGTATTTGTTTATTTTATCTGACTTCATACATTCTGAGCACACAGTGATTAACTGTTACCACAAACATTTCAACTAGTGTTTATGCACACAAAAATCATATCTGAAGAAATGCTCACTGAAACATTTTAAGTTTTAGTTCTATGAGTCTAATACGTGATATATTTACTGAACGTACAAAGTTTCGTTTTTGTCGGTGCTGGAGCTCGTGAGTTGGGCTAATCTTTTTAGAGTTGTTGCTTAAAATGAGCATTTCAAGAATAATATATTAATCAACTGCTTTACCTATAGTTGATTGTACATATACGTTTTGCGAAACAGTTATAAATGTTTAGTGGGAGAGGTATTTAACTGACTACAATGACAATACATTTGTGTTCATATAACCCGTTTGTTTTTCATGTTTCATTCGTAACATGTAATCTTTTTTATGCCTTAAATAGATTAGCTAACAGCCCTAATATCCACTTGTAAAATTTTAGAGAAATCCTTAAAAATATAATAACTAAGAACGTTGTTAGTTATAGAATGCTCTATGATAACGTTTATTTGGTTATAGCAGACGAATAGACAAAATAGCACCATTTGATAAATCTAAACGTAAAGTTTCTTTCGCTTGATAGTTTCTAAAGCCCGTTCTGCTACCCTCCATCGTATTCACTAATTATTGTGATCATTCCATCACCTTTTGATCCTATTCTGTGAATATTCATGCTCCTTACGGAGTCTGATATGTTAGTAAACCGTACCTAGCGTGGGAGTTATAGTAGTTCGAGATTGAAAAATATGTATAGATATTAAGATGTGATTTTGGGGATCACGGATAAAGCTTTTGGATCAAATCTCATGTAAGTTTAGTTAAATAGGTCAGTCTCTCGACTTTCGGTTGTTATGCCACAACTTTAAACCCCATCCTATCAAGTGCGACTAAAATCTGGACTTATATCACCATACTTGAGTCACCAATACTTCACTATTTCTCTAACTGTATCAACTTATTTTTGTAATTCAAATTTCGGTTGCGAAAATTTACAGTTTAATTCGTTGACAACTTGACAGAAGTTCTTATTTGTTTAAGCTTTCCTCATAAGATTTTAGCCAAGTAGGAATTCATATATTAGTCTTCAATTATTTCCTGTCAGTGATGAGCTAGAGGATCCAGCAGATACTTAAACTGAAAGTAAAGTAAGGTTGAAACCCACTATTTAGTAATTGAAATTCCAGCCCACCATTGGGTTGCAACTTAGTTTCGTTTTACTGAAATACCTTGACAATGTGTTCCAGTTTTCGTTTTTTGTTGTTGTAGGTTTGAAGTCCTATTCCAATTGGCCAACTTACCCACAATTATACGTGAAGGGCGAGTTAGTGGGTGGCGTGGATATCGTACGAGAGTTAGCCGATTCAGGAGAGTTAGCACAAATGTTGATAGTTCCGTGAATGTGGCAAATAAAACACCTTCTTTCTTCCAAACTTCTGCCATTTATTGTATTTTTAAATGTAATATAACCTTATTGAATTGGAGTCTTCATTTTTTGAATTTGTGGATAGTATCGGCTTTTGATTTTGTTTACCATTAATTGTATACATAAAAGATTTAGATATGTAAGCATGCTTACTACGTTAACCAATGACAATCGACGCAACCCATGTGTTTGATCCACTGACATAAAAAAATTTTATCTATCAAAGATAATTTTTTGTGTGAAACTGTACTCAACGTTTATGAAAGCAATACATCGGAGGTAAGTAAGTTTGCTACTCTGTTATTCAAAGTTAAGTCTTCACTTCCATACCATATGTTTGAAAGACCGGAGTTCAATATCATAATAGCGTTTTAATCCAGTTGTCTCGTTAATTTTTAAGCATACCTGTTTCGATAGAATTAATATCAAAGTGGTGTTCAATATAGATAAAAGAGTAGAAGTTTGACTAAAATTTTATGCTCTGTGTTACTAGTTCACACAACAGCTGAAACAACAATTATCATATACTACTGCTACTGTTATGATTTTTATCATCTCATTCTGAGTAGATATATTGTCAATTAACTTATCGCTAACATAAAAAATTGCTAAAGGTTCATTTGCTATTACTAATGAAATTATATTAGTAAAACTCACACTGAGTGAATCCACGTAATCTCAGGTTTTGCCAAGCAATCTTGTGTTCTGTCTGTAAAATGTACTGACATCGTTGACTTATTTTCAAATCATTTAATGACTTAGCAATGTTTCAGGCACCGTCTGATTCCTTTTAGCCTCATGTTACAAGTTCAACAATACTAAAAATGGTTCACTTGATTTTACGGATACATTTTTCTGTCCTTTGATATCGTCATCCTTGACTTTTACAAATCCAAAGTTCAGGTTATCTTTTGCTCGAAATTATATCTGAATATTATGTTTATTTGGGCTTCTAGTTTCTTTATGGAGTAAGATGACCAGATTGGTGATCCTGTTCGTTGGGTAATGTTCGATTTTTATCACACTTTCAATTAATAAAATAAATGTTTAAACAGGTTATGAATAATCAGGGGAATTGAAGATCCTATATCTGCTTGTTTATCTGTATAGATTTCGAAGTATGTATAATGTCAACCCAAGAGATTACATCATCCTTATAATCTAGAGTGGGTATAACGGATGAGCTAAATGTAGAGGTATATTTAGATTCTGAACGTCCATGTGTGATGTCGGACGCTCTCGGCGCATCAACAAGGAAGCGTGTTGTACATTATTACTTCAGTAAACGGACGTCACTAATGAGGAAATGAGCCAACAAAATAATTGCGTAAAGATTAAACAGTCATTATTTTAATATATCACCGTTCTTATGAACGTACCAGGCTACGAAATAAAGCAAAGCAACATCTTGGAGATGAACATTATCGAGAAGTCAGTGAAACTAAGTGTGGAGCCATACACTAAACAGACCAAGGGTTGGTGATAGTAAGATATTACAAACCATAGAAATAAGATAAGAATTCTCATGATCAAGTAGTGTGCAACTCCGGTTAATTTTCGTTAATGTAAATGACAAACAATGACAGTGATAATAACAGGTACATTGATCTTAAAATGGACTAAAATACTCATTACCAACTGAACTGCTCATTTCATTCGGGTAATTGGAATAATTCCACTGCCATTTGGGCATGTTCAGTGTGGGTACACTGTGATTAGATATTTAAATAAAATTGCATTAAGAAACTGATAATTAAGAGAGGAAAGTAGTTGTGGAATGCAAACCTGAAAAGTAACATTTGCTTGCAGCTTGGACATTGTTCACAAGGATGTACATTTCTTTCGAATTGTTATTCCTTAATAACAATGATAATATAAGAATATGTCATTTATTTCGACAGATCAAAGTAATAGTTTGTATTTGTTTTATATGACTGTATATGTGCCAAGAAGAGGGAGTGAGCCATGGCTCAATCAAGCTTAATTCTCAAATAATTTGATGTACGGATGGATTGAAAAGAAAGCTATACATGCATGCACCTTCCTTAGAAATGTTAAATCATTTCTTTGGATTTTTGGTGTCACCAATAATTCATCTGGTTTACATAATACTTCCGAGTGTGTACATGATGTGTGACAGCGTATATGTATGAGTAATAGTAATTAGATAAAACTTTTCAGTTAGAAGGGTTTTATTGCTCTTCCTCTTCTTCCTCATCGTCTTCTTCAGATTCGTCAGTGACTACCACATCAGCTGTATGAGCAGCTGGTACATTTTCAAATACTCCACTGTGTGGGCATTGTTCTTGCCATATATCAATCTGAAACATAATATTAGTATAAAGTAAACACTTATTAACTGATAGCTAAATCCTTCCAAAAAATCTTAAGAAATCAACCATAAATTAAGTACAATCCGATGATATCTCCATAATTTGTAACCGACTGACTACATGCTCACTCACGAATAATCCGTTACTTTCAATGGTAACTTAAGGAAGTCAGATTTTAATTTGCCATTATCCGGGTATTTTAGTGAATGCTTTAGTAGGTGAAAATATATGTATCACGATAATCTTCAGGGAATTCAAATGATTAAAATCATGGAACCTTATTTTACAGTGAGCGGTATTCAGTTAATTTTTACTGTCTGTCGTTAACAGTAATTTTTTGGTATATGTATAGTTGGAGTTAAACTGAATTAAATCCTATCATAAACCTTATGTATGTGATTTAGTACGACGATAGTCATTTACTAATAAACTAGATACTGTTAACATGCTAATTTACGACACTTTACATTTACGTACGGTTATAGATGAAGATATCAGTTAAGTCTATAATCCTGACAAACAAGTGTTTACAAATGCCCTCACACAAATCTAGTGTTTCTGAAGTTATAGTTATCCGGTTTGTTTTCGTCTACACTATGGTAATAAGAAGGTCTACAGACTTGTATCTATTGGGTCAATTAACGTGTTAATTACATTGGTATGAACAATTAAATATCAGCATGATCACTGAAAGCATAACTAAATTTCGTCTTTACGCCCCTTATGACCCTTTAATGACATTTAATGTACCACTCACATACTGTAAATTATAGTGTATTGCCAATGATTCGTGAAAATAAAACCCTTATATTACTAGTAGTATCCGGAAGAAAACACCGTGAAAGATACTGAGGTAAAGTGTTTATCATGAGATAGTGGAGAAGATTTGTAGCTCAGGTGGATGATATTGATGGAGTTTTGTTCTCTGAGCTGGATGGTTTTGGTCGTGGAGCTTTCATCGTTCTTCTGAACGACATCGTCAGCACAATCAACCAATCAGGAAAATTATGCACAAATATAGGAACAAAAATCAAATCAATGGGAGACAACCAAAAAAATGACAAATTTAAGGTCAATAAGAACCAATCAACATCGAGGTGTACAGAACAAGTTATGAAACGCATATGGAGAAATTCGAACACTTGACTTTTGTATGAAGTTTGAGCTGATGGTGTCGTTCAGAAGAACGATGAAAGCTCCACCACCAAACCATCCAGCTCAGAGAACAAAACTCCATCAAGAATAATTATCTGATGGAGATTTGACTTTTCCAACAAAACAGAAGTATGGTCTGGAGTATGTTTAGTCGTTCTTTAACCCCAAAACTTAATCCTCAGACTAATTAAGCAGCACTATTCAATGGTGGATACACACGCGCTAAAGAAACGTATCAACTTACAATATCTGGTCGACTTTTGTTCTTCGCAGCTTCTTCTGCTTGTTTCTGACGTTCTAAGAAGGCTTGTTTGGCTTGTGCAGTATATCGTGCTTGTTTTGGTGCACCATCACTATCACCATTTGTATGACCATCTTCAACCAATAAAATAGTCTGAATGATATGTAAAAAATAGATGAAGTCATTTTGAAAACAGAAAAAATGTAGAGGATGCCTATTATTTTTAATAAGAGCAAATGAGGATATCTTTAAAAGATCTTTAATGCTGTTGTTAGTTAGTATTAAATAGTGACGATAGTTATACTTAAAATAATTCAGCATTAGGTACTGTACCACGTAATAATGTGTTCCAGTCAAAATTAATAGGTGAATTAATTACATGTCATTAGAAATCATTTATTTCAAATGTCAATTCTAACCAGCGTGAACATATTTTCACACAGAATACGGCTGTTTGTATTGGATGTAATATGTGCAGTAAAGTAACAAATAATGTATTTTATTTCGATAGAGTCGCTGTAAATTATGTGAAATGAACATATTTTCATCCTGAACATTTTATACGAAGTTGAAATACGATTGAACTTGATAGAGATGCATTATTTTTGAAATCATTGTTCTAAGCACTTTACATAACTCGTTAGAGCTATCTTCCGTTGACCATTATTTATATGATGTAAATTACAATGAAATGTTAACCGTCTCCGGAAAATTTCATCACGTTGATTTCTTACTATTTAGGTTAGTGATTTTATCACATGCATTCTACCAACATATATAGCTCAGTGACAATGCTGATGATCATCTGATATAATTATCTATAAATATATACAGATATATAGGTATATCCAATTAAATAAATATCTAGACAGGTTTGTTAATACTGTTACATGGAGTTTGAATAATTAATCCAACACCATTGCGTTCGATACTCACATGATTTTAGTGTGCTAATCCCAACTCACTGCATTTCAGCAATATATTCTTAACCCTGCTTATGTGACCTTTCAGCTTTACAAATGATACATTTCGTAAGTACAAACATTATAATAGTCCACCATTTTTAACATATCTGCTTCAACCATACCTTACAATATGTATGCTTTATACTACTCATTACAATACAAAAATTATGGACTGATGACTAAAGTGTAGAAATGAAGTTATTCAACCCTTCTTTCGTTTATCTTCAGTACAGTTATTTTCTACGGGATAACTTACCTTGTTACTTCCTGTTGTTATCTGTGATTTAGATGCTTCTTGTATAAATCTGTTTTTCGCTTCAGATGCCCATTTCACAGAATTACTTGGATAGTCATCTGTTTGATCGTCATCATAACGGACTACATTATCAAGTCGAGTTGGTTCATTTTCATATATTCCACTTTCAGCAGCATTAATATCTATAAGCTATAGAGATGAATAAAGCAAATTAATATCATTTTTGAGTAAGCATTTAAAAAATGAGGGAACTATCAGATATATTTTGTGGAGTAATTTTCAACAGTTCACATGTATAAGGCATTCAGAAACTTTTTGAAATTCAGTTATTCTTCTAATTAGTAAGTCTGATTTACATAGGTATGATTCTTCACTACTCATGCAAAGAAATGCGAACTAACTTTGTATGCTGTCATTGAAAAATGCTAGCTTGGGTACAAAATTCATAAAGGTTTACTAAAAACACTCAGCTATTTATCTTCAACTAAATATCATTGTGAAAATTCCTATATTGTGAATTAGAACAATACGTATAAGCGGAAAATATTGTCTTCAGTTAAATCTCGATAATGATATTAGAAGACGAAGATTATCAGAACTATGTGATATATTAGCGCAATACATTTCGAACAATCTGGTCACACATATACTTGTTAAGAGCATTTATATATAAAAATAAAAGGTCAACTAGACAGGAAACGGGGTAAGAGGAGATAAGGATAATGATAAGAGTAATAATAATAATAATGTGAACACAATTTGAAACCTAATCACTCTGGATAATAAGTCAATATTACCAGGGTAGGTTTAAGGTAAGAACAAACTGTTTTTGAACACATAAAGGGGGTTTGAATTTTCGTATGGCTAAGGCTTCAATGAACCTTAGTATACGCCCTTTTACACTTTTATACAGCACTACAAAAGCTGAATTTAGATCAATCTTGTGACCTGTTTCAATTATATGTTTAGCAATAGAGGATGATGGATGTTTATCCTCTGCTCTTATCGGGTCGCTTGATTGTATTTGTTTCTGAAGCCATTTGGGTACATGTTCACTCACCCTAATGTTGAGATCACGATTACTCCTCCCTATGTATGTGTGACCACACACACATTTAAATTGGTAAACACAGTGGGATGTGACGCAATCGTTTCCATGTACTTTAGGTTTTGAATGAAGCATGCACCTTGTTCTTTCTTTGATGATGACCTTTGCTGCGCAATAGGTTTTATTGATGACTGATTTAAGTCGTTGTTTCAGTAAAAGGCTATTTGAATCACCTCTGAATGGTAAGGTGATGTAGACAGGCTTTTTCTCTACCGAGGCTATAGTAGGTCTCGCTGAACCATGGACTTTCCATCTATTTATGAATTTCAGAGGATAGCCATTTTCTATTAACGTTTTATTTAACAACTTAACATCATCATCAATGGCGTCATTGGTACAAATACGGTCGAGTCTGTTGAAAAGACACCTTATCAAACCACGTTTGTATTGCACAGGGCAATAACTATAATAACTTAGATATTGACCTGTCCATGTTGGTTTTCTAAAAATAGATCGCTTTACTGAACCATCTTCTCGTCTACTCAGGAGTATATCTAGGAAGGGAAGCTGATCGTTTTTCTCCTCTTCACATGAGAGACTAATATGGTTTTGGAGGGTGTTGAGTTTATTTAATAAACCGTGCATATCCTCTTTTTTCTCACATAGGGAGGAGTAATCGTGATCTCAACATTAGGGTGAGTGAACATGTACCCAAATGGCTTCAGAAACAAATACAATCAAGTGACCCGATAAGAGCAGAGGATAAACATCCATCATCCTCTATTGCTAAACATATAATTGAAACAGGTCACAAGATTGATCTAAATTCAGCTTTTGTAGTGCTGTATAAAAGTGTAAAAGGGCGTATACTAAGGTTCATTGAAGCCTTAGCCATACGAAAATTCAAACCCCCTTTATGTGTTCAAAAACAGTTTGTTCTTACCTTAAACCTACCCTGGTAATATTGACTTATTATCCAGAGTGATTAGGTTTCAAATTGTGTTCACATTATTATTATTATTACTCTTATCATTATCCTTATCTCCTCTTACCCCGTTTCCTGTCTAGTTGACCTTTTATTTTTATATATAAATGCTCTTAACAAGTATATGTGTGACCAGATTGTTCGAAATGTATTGCGCTAATATATCACATAGTTCTGATAATCTTCGTCTTCTAATATCATTATCGAAATTTATCAAAGGGACTAATTGTTTTAAATTTCAGTTAAATCCTCATCAGGCTGCATTCTTATATGCATTAATATTTATATGTATATACACAGTTATTAAACCAATGATGGCAGTTTATTGGTCAGTGATAACACTGGAATAGATAACATAATAGGTCAGGAGTACAAATTAATGGTGTGATAATAGGCGTACTAGTTGTGATCAGCATAACAGGCTTCAATCCATGTTTCATAGTAGGAAATAGGTCATTGACTTATAAAACATAGATGGTGAAATAACATTTATAACAACTATACGATTGCGTAATGAGAAGTGTTCAGATAACTAAACAATGAAGCGTACATTTAGTCGGAACACTCAAAATTGAGTTCGTTTTATCGATGTAAATAGTTTTGTTCATTAGAACTAGTCATCCTCCTTTTCCTGGCTTGATTGTGGTTAAAGTTTTATATTTTCTAAGCTTATGTAAAGCATCTCCATGTTGTTCGGTAATTAGTGATTTCACGGTATATTTACGATATTTGTATTGTTGGTGGATATCAACCAACGCTCTTAAATCTAGTAAGTTCATGGAGTAAGGTGGGGACCAAGTCTGTTCTTTGTGGAACTAAATTCTCAAACTGCACATCGGTATCCAGTTGATTTATTCTATTTCCATAGTTAATCATTAACCAATTCCAATGAAGTTTTTAGCTTCTATGGGACGGGCATTCAACGTTAGGAACTTATTGAGTACTTTAATTGCAAACGGATCACTCAAGTGACTTAAGAATTTCCATAATGTGAACTTGAACATTAGGCTTTGCTCTAACATATAAAGTTTATGGGTGATGAGGAATTAAAAATGAAACTACAGTCTTATAATAAATTAAGTTATCTGTAAATTACTACGCTCTTTAGTTAACTTAAACAAGTAATCGATTATCCTGAACTAGTCAGAACAAACTCTTTTGTTACTTTCATCTCAATAATCACTTAGATACATTTACTCACCTTTATACTATCTCTCTTTACAACGGAAGTATCAGCAGCTTTCTTCAAAAATAATTCACGTCTTTCTTTAGCACTTACACCAGATGGTAGATCTTTTTTTGTTTCACCAGCTCTAGCGATATTTTCGAATTTTTCAGGTTCATTCTCATAAACCCCTCCATAACCCTTTGATTATATGTAATAAACAAGATAATAAAATTTTATGAACAATAACATATTGAAACCTATTATTCTAACAAAATAAATTTACATTGATATGATAATGTTTATGGTTCTAAGTTCATATGAACATAGTTGCCTGTTTAATAAAGTAAATATGTCAGTCAAATAACTAAAACAAAATAGTTATAAATTAATTCAAGATGTTTATTTAGATTTCTCCAACTTTCAATCATTTGACTCTTCTCTGAACACATAAAGTGTTGTTTTTCTTTTCAACTACCTTTGATATTTATTAATTGATGAAACTAATGGAATAAAACTATTATAAGTCTTCCTTCATTTTCAATGATTATTTACTTTCATTACGAATCAAGATATATGATCTAAAACTATAAATAGTATATGACATTAAATTTTTAAAGAGAGCTATGTTTTTTACTGTAAGATTTATGGTATTATTTTATATGGTAAGTGAATTATGTTGACACAGTAACTACTTATTCAGTTTGCCTGAATAGTCATTGTTAAAATTCCTTAGCATTCTGCAATGAATTTTGTAACAAAGTGCTCTGTTAATTTTCTCAAGGATAAACTTCTTATTCTACAGCTCGAACACAAATATCATTTATTCTCATTTAAGTTAAATGTAAAATGAAGCAATGCTACTGCTCAGAAAAATTTTTTTGTACTAAACGATTCGTGATATATGCTGAACTTATTGTTGACTCAAAATTATTCACCAGATTTTGTGATGTCAAACTAGTTACTTTATATATCAAACAACTAATTCAGATCGATATGGCTTGACTGACATGACAAATTAGTAATACAGTTCTAAATTTCCTTGAATCCATCAAAAACATAATGCATAAAGACTGAATCATTCCTGACAAATCGAAACATTTTATTCATAAACATGTTCATGACTTCCTATAATTCAATTTCATACCGTTTATTGATTATAAATGTGAACATGAAGTTCGTTAACGATTTGATTAGAACTTTTCAAACGAAGTCATATATCAGATCTTGTTTTTCAGGTAAACTACTTGTCTTACTAAAGTAGTTAAATTTACTTCATTGACAATTATATGACTTATGAAACGATAAAAAAACCATAGGCTTTTACCTGTAAACCGATATTTAATATACAGCTAAGGCTGAAATATGTAAGAAAGTGTATAATTATGTATGATTATCGGTTTAGTTGCGTTCTCTGAGTTGGATCGTCTAACAGAGAACTTAATGAACAATGTAATCCAAACTCCTTATTTATATCGACTAAAAGTTTGATAAATGTTGGTAACGCATCACCTAGACTTATTTAATGGAATCTAAGGGATATGAAATAATACAATAAGGATTATCATTTGAGTTGAACATTCTTGTCTTATAGATATAAACTTAAATATTTTGGACAAATTACAACTGAAGTGGACCTACAAACAATCAGAATGTAAAGATTTTCGTCACAGCAAGTAGCTTCAAGAAATATATGAATATATGCATATATCTTTAAAGGGTTAGCTTAATTAGATTTGAAAATTAATTACAGAAACTGACCACTGGCATTTGTGTTGTAACATATCATTATGAGAACTGAAACAGCGTTTATTACTTTTAAGCCGAGGTGCATGGTTGGGATCTTTCACTTGAAATACCAACGTGTAATCCACTTGGCTATTACTTCTAGATAATTGTGCAATGCAGTTAATTTCAATTCATTCATATTTGTTGCTTGTTTCTTCCCATAGTTGTTTGGATACATCCTATACAGATTGCCTCTCTATTGTGATTAAGTGGATAACACCTTAAGGTTTGAATAGGAAGGCACTTGGTATGAGTTCGAGAGTGAACATAAGTTTTGTAATAGAGGTACATCTAGATGACGAGTCTCAGATAATACGAATCGTGAGTCCTGGATTCTACTAGTACTCACCAGCCATCTCTGCTTAAAATGTTCATTACTTAATAGCAATAGTGAAGAGATCCCACAGGGTGCACTTATGTCTAATGAGACTGGTCAGTTACAGACTCAAACACCAACGGGAAGATTCAAACAACCAATACAAACGATGTTTATCACGTTTATCCATAGTATATTAATATCTGAGATCGATAACGTCAACTTCATATAAATACAACAGTTAGAATTTCTAAAATAAAGATTCTTTTCAGGAAATACTGTCCAAAACTTAAGAAATAAATCTATTGTTTTCCATATTTTGTGATTAAATACCTCAATTTATAAAAAAATCTCATGAAAATGTCACAAGATTACTTTAACTATTTTCATTAGATCATTAGAACTAAGCGTCGTATATTTCTAGCTATCATTTTCTTATTGAAGGAACTTTTGAATTCTCTCAAAATAAATTAGGTGATAGTGGTGAACAAGATCCGACCGAAACCTAATATAATAGTTCATTGTTGGATGGTGTAAATTACATTCATCGCTGATAGAAACGGTTAATTGGATATTTTCTGACTACTGTCATTGAAAATGATTTTTCAATATAGGATCCTACTTCATCAGTCTAACTAAATTTTTCTAATCAGTATGAAATGTCTAACATCATTCATCAATTTACTCATTGGTTTCTGAACTGTTATTATATATCTGTCACTTATAATCATTTTGACTCATTAATTACAAAAAAATATTACCATGGAAAGATTTACAGAGATTATGGAATTTAAAGTTAGTTGTCATTACAAACTAGCTAATGCCAGACGTTTTATGGTATTGAAAATTTAATGAGATTAGAAATGTGGACTTTTATGTCCCATCTTAACGATATATAGGTATTATATTGTATTCAAAGGTGCTAGTACTACCTCGTGTAAGATCGTGTTTGTGAAACTAAAATAAAATAACGATTCAATGCTCGCTGACCTTAGTTGATCAGTCAGTAATCAAAACCAAATATACATAAATGTCATTTACTGACGGAGACTTTATTAACGGCAAATTCTAGAAATTAAGTGTTCATGAGTCAGTTAAGTATTGTAACACTTTCATATGCAGTAATTTTGTCAAACAAATATTTTAATGATGGTATTTGTAGGGAAATAATAGGTACCCTGCCTAATATCATTAAAACTAAGGTCTCTTTTAAGAAGAAAAGATGGATTTCTTCAAAAGAATGAGTGACAAATGCGAAAACGTTCAGATCGAAAGAAAAGAGATTTAAATTTATTAAAACACTACTGACGATCAATTTATATTTGAAATGTAACTTGTAAATAGTGGTTTCAATATTCAATTGCAGTTTAATAATAATAATAATAATAATGGCTAATTTCTTATATACAACTTGATAACTAAAGTTTTACTAAGTGAAATTTAAAAATAGAACTGCACTGATTTTATCGAGTGTATATTTTGAGGTGAGATTTTCAGTAGTTGCCGTCTAAGTCAGGGACCTGACAGTTACATTTCATGACACCCTATTTAAAGATACATATAAGCAGTTCATAGTTCTTGTACTTTATTCTTCTTGAGTTTCTATAGAGTTTCAATAACTGAGCAAGTGTTCAGAAAAATAAGGTACCGTTGGAAAGTAATTCATCAAAAGTTCTCAAGTGATATGATGAACTTATTACTAAACAGAATATGAAGATTTTTTTTCAGTAACAATAATTTACGGCAAATCAAATAAACTGTGATTAGCTAACGAGATTTTAAATTTGGTAGTACAGTTTGTTTATCATCACTCAGTGTAATAAAATGCTTTGTCTTTAAAAAGGTATCTTACTCAGTTATAAAATTCACCTATTTATCCGTTCTCAGTAAAACTACAAAAGCACTAAACACAATAATTTTCACTTACGTCATGTATATCAAGTTTCGGACGTTCTGATAATGCATCTTTTTCAGTTTTGCCACTTTCAATATCCTTCCATCGTGCTCTTGCATTTTTTGTAGCTTCCGGTGCAACTGTAATTGATTCATCAATGAATGAACTTTTTTTACGGTTCTCTCCATCAATGCTCTAAAATGCACATGTCAGAATGGAAAAAGATGATTATAACCATTATTTTACGAATAATTATTAACAAAGTCTCATTTAAACGAATGCAAACGTTTTTATGCTAGAACATCAAGAACATTACTGATGTTGTACACTATTCAAATGAAGTAATGTAACTGATTACTTGGTAAGTTAACCAACGAATAACCAGGAATGAAAATAAGTGATCATGAAATATTTATTGTCAATACATTGAAGTCCGTTGTAACAAAACCTATATTAGATTAAAGTCAGTATGATATACCGTTGAATGTTTGTTGTTTATTTTCCATTATCGCAGTAATGATAAGGAATTTTAAATGCAATAAATGGTATTATTTTATTTCCACAGTCTGATCATGTTTATGTAAAGGTTATTTTACATATATTCGCTCTTCTTTTTATAGATTCATATTGAATTAAATATTTTCAGTTGCACTTACGATGTTGTCTAGAACAATAATGAAAGCTCTTCCAGTAAATTATCTTGCTCAGAAAACATAAAACGAAAAAAGACATCCACCTGATCTAAAAGTATTCCTCATCACCTCAATATTACATCCAGGTACTACTATAACTCTTCAGGGTTCCACCTTTGTAAGCCGATTTTGTCAATGTTGGATTCTAATAATTACACTATATAACCAGTTCTGAAAATGCACACAAATAAAGTATTGGTAACTTTGTGGGTATCAGTGTCAAGGTTGAACTTGATAGTTTCAAATAAATTGAGCATTGAGTAGCAAGTTAATAATAAATACATTTTTATCAGTATAGAGTTGCGGAGATTGTAGGGTTTTAATTAAGACCATGAACCGATCAATGCGCGCGAGAATGAAGGTCCTGAGTTTGAATCCCGCTTGCGGGATTGTGTATGCGCATTGCTGAGGTGTCCCATACTAAGACGAAACGGCCGTCCAGTGATTCCACGTGGTTCAACATTGGTCAGTTCATAATTTCAATTAAAATCTACTTTTGTAATATACCAATAGTAAAAAGTTGTATTTCTGACGTTTCGTGACGTAATGTAGGCCACTTCTTTAGAGTAGATAAATAACCGAGTTAAATTAACACAAGTTTATATAGTACAGAGGAAACTTGTGTTAATTTAATTTGGTTACTGATTTACTCTGAAGAAGTGGCCTACATTAAGTCACGAAACGTCAGAAATACAAATTTTCTACTCAATGGGATATAACAAAAACAGATTCATTATTATTTTTAACTTTGTTCAGTCGTTATTCATGAATTCAAATGTTTATGAGCAAAATTCAGGAAAATAAACATTTACATTGATCCACATTGTTCATGTTTTAAATCAGAACGTATCCTAATCAATTAACACTAGAAATAGTGGAAATTGAAGCGATTCTAACACACTTATTATGTTTTCTAAGTAGAACGACACATTTCCATCCACATAGCTGAAATATTTTCAGCAAATTAGACATTTCGTATTACAGTTTATTTTAGAACGTGGTTGTGTTCTACTTATTTTTCTACCACATCTGATCGTTCATTTTGAAACTGAACATCACTATTCCAACCTACAACATATTTTATGATGTATGAATGTTCATTTAGTTTTATATGGACATTCGGTCTATAGTATAGTATAATAGTTTATTCAGATTAATCTTTCTCAAATGAAGATACTCAAACTCTTTTAATTCAGATTTCTATAAACTATAAGAAGTAGCTTGAAAAGCATATGATCGTAATACATTATGGCTTATAAATCTGAGTAAAAATACTTCGTTGTTTAGTCACTTTACATAAATCTATAAGCAAGTAGTAAATAGAGTTTATTCTGTTTATTCGAGACCTACCTGTCCACCAGTTGCTTCCATATTTCGAAATTTCGCCCTCAAATTTTTTGTTTTTTCACTAATCTCTTTTAAATCCACTGGTTCAAACATATCGTCCGATGTAACGACATCTGGTGCTCTTGGCTTTGGATTACTTTCTAATATACCAACAGCAACACCATCCGGTGGTGGAGTGAATTCCTTTGGTTTCCTAGGCCCATCTTCTACCTTACTCATTGTAGCCTTTGTAGCTTCTTCAATAAATTTCGTTTTAACTGATTCCACACCGGCATATTTCATTTTTGGTGCAGATTTCTTTTTGTTCTTCCTTTTATCACTATTCACTTCACCTGATTCAAACTTATTTCTAATATTTCCCATTCGTCCACCACTGGCGTTTGATATTCGTCGTTCAAGGTCAGATTTTTTAGTATCTTTATTCCCATTTTCACTTTTTTCATCTACATTTTGACAAGACATTAAAAATGGATATTATTTATAATTAAGTAATGAGTTTTTGTTTTGCTGGTTAATCTAAAAGTGCGAAAGTGAATACGTGCTCATGAAATATGCTACGTGGCTATTACAAATAAATATGCATTCAATGGCTGTTTGGTTCAAGTTTCAGAAAATATTAAGATTCACCTCCATGTTAATTGAATAAACTACTAACAAAATACTCTAGGTTAAAGGGGACTTCCGGTTGTATTGATTTGTTGAAATCCCCAAATTTGACTGATATTTTAAGGCATAACTGTATAGACGAAATGACGTATGTGAGTTACGAACACATGTGATCAATTCAACTTATTATACTGTTGGAAATGTTTAAAATACAACAGACGGGTAATCATATTGTACTTTAAATGGTTGCTTCTCTTATTCGATTTACCCTAGTATGAGGCTTGTTTTTTACCGAACTACTGATACATGAGTATTGTGATCTCTTTAAAAGTAAAACGATTATTGAAAATTTATTCACTGTTTTCTACCTTCCGCTAGTGTTCAAAGCAGATAAAGCATAAAGACTTATGTTACAGCTGTTCAAATGATCGCTTTTAACAAACATAAGTTCAAATGTACTACTGAAAGCATTTAAAAAAGATATCAGTTTTTCAACTCCATTTATGATAATTCAATACATATTACTTATACCAATATAGTAGATTATAAGTTTATTTAGTAAAATGTTTATATAAATACAATCATATTTCAGTGAAATTATTACTTAAGTAGTTGACATCATGAGTCAGTTGAAGCTAGATTACCATGGAAAACCTGGAAGCACTAGATAACCGTTTCGTCCTATTGTGAGTATCCACGATCCCGCCTCGAGAGATTCGAACCCAGGACTTATCGGTCTTGCGCGTGAACACTTAACCTCTAGACCACTAAACCGGCATCCATCGGTGTTAATGTCTAACTTCAACTAATCCACGAAATTAAGCAACACATCCACCATTGTCTTCAATGAGTTACTATCTCAAAGCAGACCCAGTTGAACTCCATTGGTCACTGCTTCTCATTAGAATTCCAGGAAATACCTCTTAAAACCAGTTTTATTTGTTAAATTTTTATGAATTTTCCATATAATTAATCACTATAATACTTTGTATCATATTGAAGTATATATATATATATAAATTAGGTTGAATCTACATATGTCAATTGATTACACACATATGTACTTGCTTGTATGAACATATTTCATATACCATTTTTAATTCAACCTTAGAAATTTTGAAAGTAAGAAAGAAAGAATAAGAGAATTGGTTATGCCAATAGTTATACATTTACATACATAATCATTCAGTGATAGTACCGTAAGTCATAATTTTAAAACATTAAAACTACATATTGTAACGTATAGAAAATTTATCATCTCAAGAATATAATCTAATCTATTTAAAATGTTTATTTGTTTATATCATAGTGAGTAATCAATGTAAACTGTTTTATCTTAAAAAGAAATCTACAAACGAGTAAATAAACACTGAAGAAATCAAGTTCACATTGTAAACAAATAATTTTTAATCATTTATAATAAAGAACAAACAATAATAATAATAATTTATATTGATTAAATGTTAGAAAAACCATAGTGGTTTATAGGCTTAACAGTATACACATTCAGAAATAGTTATGTATTCATGAACTGATTTATTCAATTCATGTAATGAATTAAAACAAAATAGATGATTCATTGAAAGTTCCTAAAAATCCCATTAATTAAAACATAATAATTATAGAAATGAATATTTTCAAGAGGATCAATTCTAATAGTAGAAACATAATGTTAAATAAATTGAAAACAAGTGCTTTTTCTGTTTTACTTGATCCGTTTTGGTAAGATCTCCAGTTAAGATCTATTAGAATTTTATAGTTTGTTGAACAAAAAGTCTTTTTTTATTATTATGACATTTGACTTTTAAGGTTTGATTGAGTTTTCAAGAGTTTTAGTTGTTTCTTTGTAAAAGTGGAGAGAGTAGCTAGATGCTTATCAATAAAGATTATCCCTCTAGTCCCTAGTCTGTTCAATGTAGCTGGAATATAGTAAATAGTGAATAATCTGTAACATCATTTGCTCACAATATGTGAGTAACAATTTTTAGTCAAGAGGAATTAAGCTATGGGTTAACACCAAGTATTTTGAAATGAAAGATCCTTAATTTCATGTTATCACAAGAATCTTTTTATCTTTTATGTCCGTGTGTACAACATAGTATCAAGGCTTTTACCCTGAAGACAACTTACTAGCCAGACATATTTGGATATTTTCATTCCTATCCATTTTCACAACGAATTCATCCCTACAAAAGGCCATTTTAACAAAAGCGAACTGTAGTCTGCAGTGCTTTGTTATCTTTAAAAATTTATATTCCTTCTCAATGAGCTCAAAAAAATAATCAACACCATTAAATGTAAAATAAAATTTAGTCACATCCTGAGGTTAATGTACCATAAATATATTAACCATTACAGACTATTATAAATTACGTCTAGTTTTTCACCTTTCCGATATGAAACAATTCATGGACTGAAATATGACGTTCCTGGTAGTCAAGCTCAGTAATTATTTCCTTTCAACCATAAAAAGCCTCTTCAGTTGAATACTGAGAAAATGATGCGTAACAATTTATTAAATAGATCTACTGATGAGTTTGTTATCAAACTATAATTAATAATGAGAACACATTCTAAACATTGATCATATTTAGTTGATCAGAAAATGGGAAGAACCTATTAAACCAAATTGTACTTGAAAATTATTTTCTTTAAAATATTATTTAAACTGACCCTTGTTCTAGTTTTTACATATACCACCACATAAGAATACAGAAATTAGGAGTGAATTATAGAAAATTACGTAATTATATGGGAATTTAAATAGTAATATAGCTCTTAAGATGATTGAGTGAATATATGCATATAGATTTACTTGAAACTAAGGTTTTTTAGAAGGATTACTAATCTTGATATCTAAGATAAGCTGAATCCCAACTAATCATGAAAGAATAAATCTATAATCTTTCACGAATGTACGGTAATAACATTTTCATCTTTGTCGGAACTTGAAGAAAAAACTCACTTCGTGGTCATCATCTTTGGCGGCCTGCTTGAACATCTGAACTGCCTGCTCCTGTTATCTAGATATTCCAACAAGTTATCTATTTATGTGTGTTTCTGAAAAGTGTACAACCTTTCGTTGTATAAGTTACAAAATGTCTAATCACAGATCTCGTGGTTGTTGGCAATATGTAACCAAAAGAATGTACATTATTTAGATGTCGATTTACTGGACTGCTAACTTCTAACTGGCGACTACTCAATATTTATCGTCAGGATCGACAAAGTAATAAGAAACGGAAATTTTTTGAATTACTTTGTGCTGAGAATTCTACATTGTACCAAATATATAATATTGAATAAAGCTAATAATGATAATGACAATAATAATAGAAACACCTATAAAAGTCAATAAGCTTTTCAAAAATATATGACCTTCCCTTATGTTTATTTTGACCTTCTATCTTAAGTAACCTTGGGTGAGAGATACATATTTTCTAGTTATCAAAATCTAGGATAGTTAAATAGAACATACTAAAAAATTTATTTTGGAGTCAAACATTCCATCGCCATCACACATTAAACAACATTTCCAAAATACTTTAGAATTCTCAGTAATACAGTCAGTTTAAATTCACAAAAGTTTCTCAAAATCATCATATGAAAAAGTTTTCAATAGCTTATTTTTGAAAAAATGAATTATTGTTGATCTGATCGCTCATCGAAATCAGTTTGAATTCCTGACAGATCTCCAAACAAATACGAATCAAGTAATACACTACTGAAAACCAGTAGGTATTTAGGAAATGTTTTTCAATTGTTTAGGACCCTCTAGCAATGTGCATCCATTAGCCAATTTTAGGAAGAACGCAGGAACTTACAGTCTAATACCAAGAACGATGCCGATAAATCAGTGAGTCACCACGTAGTCGTCTGTATTTTCTATGTTAATTGTTTTGGTATTGAGTACTGTCTTAACTTCACTAGTTATCAATTTTCACTGAAAATTTGAAACTGCACTTGGTATCCGGTAACACAAATTCATTGAAATTTCAATATGCGCTATTAAATGATGATTAAGTTGATTAACTTTACAATCCTTGGTAAAGAATCTGAAAGTCATGATGTAAATCGAGCATCAGCTCGTTTGTAAACATTTCTTTTAAGACTCAAATAATCGCTTCATGGTTTCTAAAGAATTTCTAACCAGCATCAGACCGTAAGGTCGACTATTTTAAAGAAAAAAAATTTGTCGACATTATAGTTTTGTGGTGAAAATTATGAATTCAATCACATGTTTTGTGTCACTTTTTCCCATTATGTATATTTTTAAATCAATTCTAAAATATCCGTCATAATAAAATTGATTAGTAACCTTGTATCCTTTTACCCACTTATTCCCTACACAGTGAAGAGGAAAAAAGTAAGCGTTCAACTAATACTCATATGCACATACTTTTGTTCATTGCATATCACATGCCAATTTAATAAACAAAAATTTAACCGAACATTAACCATGTCTAAACATCTCTTGCCATAAACAAACACATGCACATATACATATATGAATACATCGACAACAAGAAAAAAGATTTCCCTCTTTTTCGTTTCTTATTATAACACATACCAATCTCTTGTTTTTGTGCTAAGATTGTTGTTGATGTCAATGAATGATCTGTGAATAAGATATGAATAAAATTATTTTAGAAAAAAAAACGGACAATAATAAAGTACAATATAAACTAGACAAAAAAAACATTCACATTCAGTCATTAGAAAAAAGAAACAACCCGAAATGTGAATGTAAAATGGAATTCTAGCAATAACTCTATCTGTTCATCATCATCATCGTCATCATCATCTTCATTTTTGTGCTTAGACATTTATTCATTGACCAGTTTTAAAAAGGAAATAGTTAAATATCCACAATCAATTTAGCTAAACATGTAACGAATTTTCTCTTTGGAAAAAAGAAAGAAATATCCAATAAGAATTACATAATGGAGCATGATAACATTTTGTACTAATATTAGTAGCATTTGCTATAGTAGTAACATTCATCTTAGAATTACTGTAAATTTGAAAGAAAAAAAATAGACTATTTGCAAACAACAAACCAACCACATATTTAAAGAAATCACAACTAGAAGATAGAAATGGGTATTGTAAGGATTAGATTTTGTTTGATTGATATAAAAGAAGAAATGTGATGGAAATTTTCATTCCTTCATTGTTATTATTGCTGAGATCGTTGATGCCATCAAGATATTATTATATCAGTTATTATTATTATTTTTATTGTACATTGATAATATCCATATTATATCGAAAGTGTAGTGCACAACACCAGTTACCATTTTGAAATATTGCACTTTTATCACTGAAATTTTAAAACAAAATAATATTGAAATTTAAAAAAATAATCAATAATCGATATTATAACGATTAATGATCTAAGTAGTTTTATAAAAAACTTTCCATAAAAAGAAAAACAGGTTTTTATAACCAAATAATAATAGCCAACATTAGAGCATTGAAAAATTGCCTTGATCTAGTTTGATATCAGAACAAGAAAGATGTTCCACGCTTATTAATGTTTAATAGCTTATTAAATTGAACTAAATAAGGGCAATGACGTAAGATAATAATAGCAAATAGATATTAATCTTAATAATGTCAATGGTGTAACTGGAACCTAAATGACTTTTCAATTTTATCGTACAAATCATCATAGAACCATGTTTGAGATTATCAATGATCTTTGATGATCACTGAATACTAATCAATCATTTTTTATGTATGCAGACTAGTTTGATGAGTTAAGATAAACGGTGTTTCTACCTTGATGTGTCGTTTTATGCCAACAATTTGCTATGGAACTTTGAATGAATAGTTGAGTTATAGTCATTTAATTAATCATCCCGTCAATTCGGACATTTGATTGTATATGTATGACACTTCATTGAGTGAAGACAGTGATGATGAAGTCCATTTTAAAATATGCCAATAAATTAGATAGTTTGTACAAATGTACATTACTTTTTCATAGTTTAAAATTGAAATAACTTACGTTAATGTTTCATTACATATTGAACATTTGAAACAATTACGATGTATCACTTGATCAACTAAATCATAACGTTCATTTACTGGCATTATTTTATGACAAATCGAACAATTTTCTATTGAATTTAAGTCACATTCCATTAGTTGGTTTATTATCTAAAAGAAAAAAAGACAGGAAGTGAAAATTTCTAATCACAATAGATAAACAAATATTAAATTTTAAACATGATATATATATATATATATATATATTGATGGAGTTTTCTTTTCTGAGCTGGATGGTTTGGTCGTGAAGCTTTCATCGTTCTTCTGAACGAAATCATCAGCACAAACTTTAGATCGAAGTAAAGCGTTCGAATTTCTCCATATGGAGATAGATCAAATAGATCATCAGGCTCCACTATGATATGCAATAGTATTTATCCCCGTATATGCAAAATATTAGATCAGTCAAAGTGATTTTACAGTCATTGATAATTGTGAAAAAGTCTATATAATCATAATACTTACTACTCATTTGTCTTCTTACTATCGGTTTGTGTTTTTAATTAAACATGATTAGTTGTGTAATCTTCTTCATTGTTATCATCGACTCAGAAATTGCCTTGATCGGCTGATTATTTTTCAATTTTGCGTATGCATGTTATTTTATAATATGCGAAAACAATGTTTTCACTTACAAGTTTTGTTTTAATTCACACGATGAAAATTTTTGATCAGTAAACAAAAATGGTAGTGTTGTGGTCTGTGGTCTTGTTTAGTCACAAGGATCTTTTCAAAGCCTTATTAATCTAATTTTACAGAGAGAAAAGTCTATGGAGCAGGATTCATTAAGAAAATCCGAAAACCATGGATACTTGTGGGTGCAGTGACAGACCAGATAATCACCTATAGGTGATGACTCTGTGCAGATGATGATCCACTTAGAAGAAAGAAATGACTCTTCAATACATAAATCGTTCTTAACATGTAATTTCGAGATATCTTGTGTATGTCTAGTTTAAATAGACATAAAGTTTGCAAAGTAATAATGAACACTAACGTTCTCAACAAACTCATTTCAAGGCATCATTTTCAAGGATGCTCGAAAACATGGATATTTAATTTCACTTACATCTATAGGAAAATTTAGTTAGAAATATCCCACTTTTTCGAGCTTACTTTGGCAATCGTTTTTCTTAAACCAAATTTGTACGTTGACGCTATTAAAATAGACCGTAATGTTAAGTGATTAAATGAATTACAAACCGTTTGTCAAATTTATGTTTAATATAATGCAGTATGAAACAACAATGAACAGGAGTAAATTCAATTTTGTATGCTACGAAATATTCATGTTTGCTTCTAATCAGTAAAATAATCAATGTGTTCTTCCACCCTCTCAAGGCCTTTTGTAGTAGGGTTACTGTGCACTGTAGAACTTGTAGGTGAATAAAGTCAGTCGGTGAATAGATAATTTTGTGTGTCAGGTCATTCAAATGTTATGACTGGATTATTTAAATCCCACTATCAGTGAAATTGTTGAGATGTGACTTATTTTCTAAATTAGGCAAAGTGGAAAATCTCCTTCCTAAGAGAATGAGGTAAATAATTTTACCGTAACTAGGTATATTTATATTATGACATTGTTACGATAAAAGTGAATTTTGGGAATCGTATTAAACATTAAATAAAATTCAGCAATAACTTTTTGTAAATCGGTTACATTTCTGAAATTTAAAGTGACTTACAGTTTTACTTCCAGGCTGTACAGATTCCACTGGCTTTTCAGTCCATATTCCAACCTCTTCATTACCTGTCACGGATACTGGACGTAAGTTACTCAATTTGATTTGTGGTACCTGTGATGTTAGCAGTGGCGACAGTGTTTGCCTATTCGTTTTATGAGGCCCAATGTTGTTCGCAAATTGTAATGAAGTTAAATCTTGTGTAGGTTTATTAAATTGAGAACTTTCTGCAGGTATAGGTCTACTAATTACCGGACGTGGATTAGATTGACTTCGTTGTTTCTTATCAGATTTTGTTCGGGGACGTTGTAGGTTAATTTTTGAAGCAGCTGAAGTGAATATTCGATGAGGTTTTTTCAAATTTACATTAGTTTTTAATCCGCTGACGTTATTTGATTTATTGTTATCATAGTTGGTATTATCACGAAGATCAGGTGTACTTTTTAAATGAAGTTTACGTTCATTATCTTCATAATTTAAATTGACTTCTCGTTTATTACTGTCGCGTATTTGTTTTAAACGACATTTGTTCGCCTTATTTGAAATTACTAAACGTAAAGGCATTTCATAAAATCTAGTTTCTAAAGTTAATGTTAATTCGAACATTTATTTTCATATTATTATTTAAACAAATATGTTTTCATTTTACCAGTGTTGCATGAGAATGAGGAATAAAATAAACCACTTCTAATGCAATCATCAATCATGCAATATTGTTATATTATTAATGATATAACAGCAAGCTTATTATGATATTCATTCTACATTATCTCATGCAATCACTTTCAAAGAAGTATTATGATGTTTAGCTATTAGGTAATGCTATTTTATTCGAAAATAAAATGGTTTCATTCTAGTAGATTATTTCCAGTTGGTTATGTTATTTACAACTAAGATATCACAAAGTGACCAGTCAAAAATAAAAATAATAAAGAAATTCAATTGATCGTTATATATATTCGGATTGTACTTTAATGTATAATTATGTATCTTCATATTTTAATTGAAATTCAGCGCTTTGTAAATAGCCGATTACAAAATAACATACATTTTTGAACCGATGTTTTTTTAAATTGGGAAATATATCCTTTAGTATTTACAAATAGAATTCCATTAACTTTGTTCACATTGTTGTCAACTTTCGGGTCTATTAGTTCTATATGAAGATCATATCACATGACAATGTCATAATCACTGTTTCGGCCATTTGAAATCTTTAGAACGTCATGAAAATTTATTACTGATAATAGGAACCCATCAAATCTATCCTTAAACGAGATCCTCTTGAGTGTAAAGTTAAACAATCAATAATCATGAGTCACTTATACTGCGAATTTATTTCTTACGAACGCTTTAACTTTTTCAAGAACCTCATGTGCAGAAAAGCTGTTACCCTGATACTTCATTTAGTTTGTTCCAAATATCAAAAGAAAATGTAAAATTACGAAACTAATCAGTTGTTATACATTATTTAAGAAGTATTACATTTTCTTCCCTTAGATTCAAGTAAGTTTTTAATATGAAAAAATAATATTAAACTCTTACATTTTTGATCAGGTTTATTGCTATCCAAATAAAAGGATTTATTCTGCTAGAAACCCACATTGGAGGGTAGAACAGAATCAATTCTTAAAGTTCATTTAATCAAACAATAATTCATTTATAATTTAAATTCTATCATTTTACTTCACCTCATTAAGGTAGTTTAATTAATGTAATTGTAACTATACAAAAGTGATATTCATATATGTATTACGTTTACATTAACTAATTCAATTAGTTTACATTTCATTATTTATATGTTATAATTTCTATGTTTCCCATAATGATTTTTATCAGAAATAATGTATGATACATACTTTGACCTCGTTAACTAAAATGATAAATTATCTTAATCATAAAGGTAATGATAGCAATAAGTCTGCCCAGTACTTTGACTTCTTTTCTCTCTTTTCTCACATAACATTTCAATCTATACAATGTTCTGCAGATATTTTCAATGAACTGTATTGTAAATGTAAAAAAATGGTCTTTTTAACCAGTGGTACTGTCTTATCAATTTAGAAACCTATAAATTATCTAGATTTTGAAAATTTTCTACCATATCCATGAAACTAATCAATCATGAGCTTCTTATGGATAATACTTTTATTTATGTCATATTTCTTACAATACCAAGTCACAAATTTTAATACGAACATTTAGGATGTATATTATGTCATTGTAATGTTAATGAATAATTGTGTAGAAGGTAAAACATACACGAACACTGTGCGGATAAACACCGATTTTTATTAATCACATTTAATAGCTCTACATTAGTAAACACAATAATATAGTGCTAACTGTTAATTAATTCACAATAACTACAATTTATCTTATTCAGTAAATTGAGAAACACAAGAATACTTCCATTTCTGCCTCCTAACATTTTATTCATATGTTTTCCTTTTATCACTTCTAGAGTGTAAAAAAACCAGTGAAACATTAAATGGTTGTTATCCTCATTTGGTAATAATTATCTCCTATGATAATTAAAATAACCATAATAAGCGTTTACAATCACATGGATACATAACCATAAGAGAGAGAGAGAAAAAAAAATCATGCAGAACAATCATAAAAATGGCTTTTCAAGAAACAATACACATGACTTGTTAGATTACTTACCTTTATTTTTCATATCATGAAGAGAAGTTGCCTACGTTTTAATAAAAAGTATAAATGCAAACAAAAAGTATATTGTTGGTCAGTGATTAATGATTAAAGCATAAAACATTAACTTTAGAAAAATACTTATAAAAATCTCTATTTTTATAAATTAAATTGTAAATATTAATGAATGAAAAATAACAAATGATAGTACTTTTATAAGCAAAGATAAATAGTGGCTAGTAGTGGAATCCAGGACGTGCGTTTCGTCCTATTTGGGACTCGTCAGCTGGATGTACCTGCATCTCAGAGTTCATGTTCACTCTGGGACTCGAGTCCAGTACCAATCGCTTCAAACGCCATCGCGTTATCCACCCAGCTACTGAGTCCTGATAGCCACTTGCTTGTGCAATGGGGTGAATTTAAATTCACTTGACATTGTTTTTGCTTGTATCTTCCCACTGAGGTTTAAAACTGAAGTTGATCAGTCTTTTATTGACATATGTGCATACTGTGCGTATGCCTCGATATTGCCTTAATTCACAAGCTTTTATAAGCAGTTTTAAACCTCAATGGGAAGATATAAGCAAAAATAATACCAATTGAATTTAAATGATAGTACTATTTAAAGTTCAATTTTTATCCACTTTAACAAAGATTTTATAAAGTTAGTTTACTGTATTAAGTATCTTATCTGAGAACTTTTCTTAACTGAGTTATCAATCCAGTTTTTGTTCAACTGATGTGAAATGGCATTGAAAACTATATTTTAATACAATTTTTAACTGTAAACTTTTCTAACCTTTTCAATTAACTATTTATTAAACATTAACATTAAGTGTAGAGTGGTTAATAACCAGTTTTGGCGATTCACTATCATTTTTGACAAATATTTTACTCTTAATTTGAGTAAATTCACCGGTAAGTGTTCAATATTGACATATTTAAGTAATATTCTCAATTTATGAAGTTAAACAAACTGGATATTTGTAAGTGATATTCATTACACATTAACATATATTTGACCATTCGTAGAAACCATTACAGTCCAACTCGGTGACTTTAGAATCAAGCACTCGTCACGATGCCTTGACATTTTGGATTTGATCACTGGTGAACTCATAGGTGAACGCTGCTGAAGAACCCCATTTTAGAAGAAAATAACCGTCCAGTGCTTACCAGGTTCATTGGGTGGTGTCTATTGTCTAAGAAAAGTCTTAAGAAAATCATATAGTTGTATCTTCGTAAGACCTGGTATGGCCGAGAGTGGGGTGGGCCCGCCCCCCCCTCTCGAAATGCTCTCACACGGCCATGCGTATATAGCCTCTGCAAGGGAAGTCCTACTCATTGCCTTCTCGTGGCGGGGGTGTTGTTTACGAAAATGAGAGGACGAAAAGCGAATGTTCGGCGCTTTAACCGGATTCCAAACCAATGGTGCACATGGGCTCCAGTATCCTGCGGGAACAAATGGCGTATGAACCAATCGTTAGTCACCAGCTACCATGGGACTGCATCTCCTTACAATGCTCCACTGTCTTGTGGATCAAACCTTCAGGTCGAAGGCTCGGGAAGTGGCCCCCTAAGATAACCACCTGCTTCGGTCTGGGCACCCGAGAGTATCACAGCCCGCACACAAATATGATGAACTGTCGATAATTATGGAAAATACTTTTCTTGCTTCAACTACTAATCAAACGATTCACATTATTATTATTACTATTGTTATTATTTACTACGTCATTTATTCACTCTCTTTTATTCCTACTCTGTCTATCCTTATTTTTCGACTTATACAGCAGCTCGTCTATGGTGAAAATTCGGTTCTATCTAAACGTTCTCGAGTAGAGACGTTATCAGATATGGCTCAGAATAGAAGCCAGTGGCGATCCTGCTGTAACCTTTTACTTTCTTCATAAAAAGTGGTTGCTTCTTCCTTAACTGAAAGATCTCTTCTGAGTGTACGTTTCTGTTTCCCCTATTATTATTATTACACTACCTTACACTAATCTATTCGTTATCGTTTTTTTTACGCTCCTTACCTTTTTTTCCTTCTCTGCAAATTCTCATTGTTTTGTGTGGCGCATATATATTTGGTGCCCCCCTGTACCAATATTTATGTGTTTAAATAAATAAATAAATAATAAATCTTCGTAAGACTGATTGACATGATTATTTTGGATTTCTTCAATATTTCTCCATTGTTTATGAAATTAAAACTGAGTTCTCTGTAAACATTAGGCCATAACAGCTGCTAGTAATATGACTTAATAACCGAAACGATCTATGAATATACGCGGAATAAAAAATGTAAACTTACAATGATTGAATTTGCAGGAAAGAAGTTTTAAGAGTACAGAAGCCATCATTATCTCAAATATTTCTTATCGATGTTTATTTCTTAAATGTCCTAATCGGTACAAGTTGACAGAGCTTCTAATTTAAAAGCTGTAAGTTTATCTTTTTAATAATGTTACATAAAGATCTAGATCCATTTATAACACATGAAGAGTATATCTGATGTGGTTTTGAGTATGATAATAGATTATATGACTAAAAATGAAGCATATTCGAAAAACACTAATTTAATCACTAGCTATTAATGAAATCTACAATCCATGCTTCATTCTATGTAAGTCTCCTGAGCTTGATGTAATCACATCCTAGTATTGATGCTGTCATTGGAAATAAGCGATTAGAAATAATAATACTAATAATATGTATTACCAGATTGAATCTTCAATAGAATTTTCTGCTAAACAATAAATATAATATTTTTTTGAATTGTTTAATCCAATAAATTTTGTACTTTCATAAAGAACAATGCTGAGATAAAGATGAATGTTTAGAATTATCACTAATGTACTCAATCTACAAATCTTTGTATGGAAATAATATGAAGTGGGCCCTTCATTAGATTCAAGAAATCCAGTGGGTATTTTGCAATATCGTTTGTATCGTGAATGAATAAAAACTCACTAAAAATACCAGCTCTTAGTAAAGATATAACCATAAAAAATTAAACAAAATTAAATCAGTAACTGTAATAGCTATTGTAACGAGGCTGTAGTTTCTCTAATAAGTTGGAGAATTCATCTAAAGTTTGTGATCATGTACCGTTATTGAAACTCAACGGAATGGAATAGATATAAACTCTATGAAACCCTTCTACTGTGTAACCTCAGAAATGCATCACCTAATAGTATAATTACATGAACCACCCAAAAGAACACTAAGGATCTTTAACTATCACATGAACTAATAAATATCATGACTTCTAATCCAAACTACTAGTCAACCTTTAGTTTTTTAATTATGCATTATGTCTCCTTAGCCAAATAAAACAAATCGGAATATCAATGTTATTTTATAGTTGACGGTTGAATGCGATTATTTCGAATATGGTTTTACTCAATAGTAATGACAATTTTGTATTCATCTATACTTTTGATTTTTTTAATGACTACAAAAAGTAACGTCGATCTCTGATGATAAAATTTACCTCTTATTATTTATAAAATGGAATCCAACACAAAAGTTATCCCATCAACAAAAAATAAACTTGTTTTTAATCAGTACAGAAATAATGTAGTGATTATAATGTGTGTAAGTACAAATGAATAAAAAGATAAAAGTTTGCTCAATATTTCTAATTCCGTTTTTTAAAAAAAATGAAAGTACAATACTTACACTTCATGGGTTACTGCCGAATTTTGAATATACCTTAAGGAATACATCATCATCGGTTCATAAAGATTATTTTCAATGTAACTGTTAGTTTAAGCACAACGCTGATGTATTATTGACTCTCAACAATTTCAGTTACTAATTTGTTTAAGTTTTTTTTAATCTGTGTCCTTAAACAGTCTGTAATTAAAAGTAGTTTGCTTTATTTATCAAAACTGTGAGTTCACAACATATCTCATTTGTTGTATATGTAAAACGCAATTTACAATGAACACAATTAAATTATATTTACATCTACATACTGAAGTACTGTACAACACTTACAATTCATTGAGATCATGAACCGATCGATGTAAGACCACCATTGAAAAACTGACAATTACCATGTGCTCACTAGTGACTAGCTTCGTGAGAAAATTCTTGGGGTTCTGGTGAGAAGCCGTGACCAGTGGAGCTAATCCGTGTCGGGTAGAAACAGATGTCTACCTGAGTACAATGGGAGATGGTCGCTCAACTTCGCGCATTAGTTGAGGTTAAACATTAACACCATTGGATGCCACCTCAGTGGTCCAGTAGGTTAGGTGTTCGCGCGTGAGACTGAAGGACCTGGGTTCCAATCTCGTGGAGGGCGGGATCGTGGATGCGCACTGCTGAGGAGTCCCACAATAGGACGAAACGGTCGTCCAGTGCTTCCAGGATTTCAATGGTCGTTTAACATCAAACGGTTCATGATCTCAATCAAAAACTTAACAGTCTCCCCAACCCCTAAAATGATACATACAATTCAATAAAAACATTTTTATGAATTTGTTATCATGTCTTTTGCTTTTTATAATCTACTAATCAGTCTTGATATTTAATTGATAGAAACAAGCAAAAACTCTGAAATTTTACAAATAATATATCATCAAAATAATCAACTTAACTAGAGAATACCACAAGCTGGCATCTTCAGTCGCATTATTAACAAAGATAACTATCATGAAAATTAAATAGGTATCATGCCTATGATATCTTAGTATTACTTATCTCGGAGTATTTCGATAAAATGAATAGTAGTGTTATGAATGGTCACCTTGGATTGATCAGATTAACGATAAAATAACTCAATACATGATCACGATCAATAACTGATGATTATCCTACTGAGTTACAAAGTATTTAACTGACTTGTCAAAGTAGAGTACGCTTGCAGTGATCAATAATAGTTATAAATATGATCCATGGATAACCAACACATCACTGAAATATAATTAGACTTCCATAATGTGAACTTTGAGTGCTCTCGTAATAATATTATAAAATATTTTAGCTACATACGATTTTCACAGATTGAAATCATGAGTCAATTGAAGCTAGACCACC